AATTTTATATAAGAAAAAAATTATCTTCAATTATTATTTATATAAATTATTTAATTTTTATATAAAATAAAAAAATAAAACAAATAAATTAAGATTATAAAAATTTGAATTAGAAATGATAGACATGAGATTCTATCTTTTCAGCATTGCGGTTTCTTTAGCGTACAAGAGACGCGCAGGGCATAGCATAGCATGGACTGGCAGGATTAAAATAAGACTTTGAAGCGGACAAAGACCTAGTCTCCCGTTAAATCTTCATTAACTCAAAAAACAATGATTTGACCTTCAGAACCAATGAAATTGTATTCATTTTAATATAAATTCTGAACCGGAAATGTGATGCGCATTTACATTATTTATTTCATTTGTCTGTAATTTCTTGTGAATTTCCAAGTCGAAGGTCTAATGTTCTTTCGTTTGTTCACATGTGGTTCTTCCTCCTTTATGTCTTCAACACCAGAAACTGAAAGCTTCAAAGCCATGGATTTGAGTCCTAAGAAGGGAATCCAGAAGAAGAAAGCCACCCCGCCAGCGGAAGATCTGCTTGTAAAAGGGATGGATCTCCTTCCATCGGAAGTTACCATCGATATTCTATCGAGATTACCCATCACCTCCCTTACTCTGTTCAAGTTGACTTCCTCTTCCGGCGGTGCTTTGGTTGCCGATCAGAGACTCCCGGCACTGTTCCTCAACCGGATAATTGACAGTGACCCATGTCTGATCATGATCAACCCCGATTCATCGGCCTCCAGACAACTATACTTCGTGGACAGTGATGGACGAGGAGGGTATATCAATACTGCAAGAAAAATCAATCCTTTGAAGACAGTTTGCGGATTCGATTTGGTGGGTTGTTGTCATGGATTGTTATGCATATCCATTCCTAAGTATTACCATTCGACACAAGTTCATGTTTTGCAGATTTGCAATCCTTTCGTTACGGTTTCGAATTCAATAGAGTTGCCTGTCCCAAATCGGTTTGTGAACCAAAGGGAAATCTTTGGATTTGGGTTTCATCCAAGGAGTAGAGAATTCAAAGTCATCAGGATTGTGTTCTATGAGCTGATCATGACAGGGCGAAGAGAAACAGTGACTGTCCACAAGTCGGAGGTCCAGGTGTTAACGGTTGGAACAACAGAATGGAGGAAGAAGGGAGCTTCCCCGTATAACTTTGAATTAAAACCACCGGAGGCTCTGGTGGAAGGGTCTCTTCATTGGGCGGTTCCAAACTTCAACAACCACCACCGCGTCATCTCCTTTGAGCTGGCGGAGGAAGTTTTCAAGGAAATCCCTTTGCCTGACTTTATTGAAGATTATTATTCTGGTTATCATCTTTCTGAACTTAACGGATGTCTCACCGTTGCTGGATTCAGCCAAGGCGGCCGACTGGACATCTGGGTGATGAAGGAGTACAATGTGAAGGAATCTTGGAAGAAAGAATACTGTATCAACCACTATGTTGATGGGCAGAATGGAATGGTGAATGGAGATTTTGCTTCGAACTGGATGGGAAGATTCGTAAGGGTTTTATGTGTCCTGAAGAATGGGGAGATTGTGCTGGAATGTAACAAGAGAGCCTTGGTTTCTTATGATCCTAAAACTGACAGGTTCAAGGCTCTAAAGATCAACAGGCTCCCGCAGCAGTTCCAAGCTTTTGCTTTCCATCCTACTCTGTTCTCAGTAAAGGAAACCGTTAAAATGAAGGTTTAATATAATCTTCACAACTCTTCCTTTGTGTATGAATATTCAATTTCCTCTGTTTTGCAGTTGCTTGAAGTTGTGATTCACTCACACCAAACAGAATACTGTCAGGTTTCAGTGTACAATTTTGTTCTTGAGAAATTGATGATTTAAGGATGTAATATGTCAAATAAGAGAAGGTTATTACAGTGAGATTGCAGGTTTACATCAACTATATATGATTTTGCTCTTTTCCTACTTGAAAAATTGTCAAATTGGCAAAAGAAAGGGGAGACTTAAAGAGGAAAAGAAAGGGGAGATGAAAAATGGTGCCAACGGCGGAGGATAGATGACTTAGGGTTTTTATGCCTTTTTTTTTTTTTACTTGTTTTAAATCTTCTGGGCCACAAAAAATCTTTTGGGCCTAAGAATTGGGCCTCTGTTCGGTTAATCTGGAGGCCCTAATCGATTTTTGGTTAATAAACTTTCAAACCAAAACCGAACCAGAAAGCTTTTCGGTTAATGCCAAAACCGGAGTAAAAAAACCAAATACCGATTGTACCGACCCGAATTCAAATTTTTGGGTCTGTTATCGGTTATCCATTCGGGTAACCACCCGAATGCCCACCCCACTGGAAGGACGATCCTAATCAATTCCTTAGTAACAGGGTTGATTGGCTTTAACGCAATAAAGTTCCAGTCTTCCGCTTTGGCTTCGACGCTGTATATACGACGCCGGCGACTTTTCCCATTATTCACGTTTCATTTCTCTTTGCACAAGCATGGATGCCGAAGAGGGAAGAGAGAAGAAAAGAGTCAAGCTTGCAGATTATCCTTCCAACAGAACGGTGGTTCAGATGGGTCTTCATCTTCTCCCACGGGAGATTCTGCTCGAAATCCTATCAAGACTCCCGATCACCTCTCTGATCCACTTCAAGATCACTTCCCATGCCGGCTATGATTTAATCGTAGATCCAAGACTCCCTCCGATGTTCCGCAACTGGGTAAGCGACTCAAACCCATGTCTGATTCTGTTCAGGAACGATTCCGTTGCCACCCGGGGACTCTATTTTGTGGGTAGTGAGGGTCGTAGTAATAGAAGGGTTAGGAGAATCGACCCACCACAGCATTCAGACGTTGATAATCTGGTGGGTTCTTGTAACGGGCTGTTATGCTTATCCTTTCCCATAATCGGTGGTTCATCGGTGTTTCACAGTCTGCTAATTTACAATCCTTTTGTTGGAGACGCTGTGAGAGTCCCACCAGCGAACCGATTTCTGAAGCAAAGGGAAGTTTTTGGATTTGGGTTCCATCCGAGGACAGGAGAATTCAAAGTGGTCAGGATTGTGAGCTACGACAAGATCGTGGCGATAGCAAACCCGAATGTATTCACAACCGTTTGTGAATCAATGGTTCAGGTGTTTACCGTAGGAACAACAGAATGGAGAAACAAAGGAGCTCCGCCTGAACAGTTCCAGTATGGATCACCTCCGGTCTTAGTGGAAGGATCTCTCCATTGGTTGATGGTTGTTAGGATGGAAGAAGTCGATCCTATCTTTGGTATTATCTCCTTCGACCTTGCAGATGAGGTGTTCGAAGAAATTCCGCACCCACCTTGTCAACAACTTGTGTCCCGTGACTACAGTCTTTCCGTGCTCAATGGGTGTCTATCGGTAGCTAGGTTAGTTGATGCTGTGCATTTTGATATCTGGGTTATGAGGGAATACCATGTTAGGGAATCTTGGGTAAAACAATTCTCCTTTGATCCCCGTTTTCCTGGTGGGCGGCCAAGCTTCTTAGGAAGATTTCCCAAAGTTATATGTGCACTGAAGAATGGTGAGATTCTGTTGCAGTGTAATGACAGTTCTCTAGTTTCTTATGATCCTGTAGAAAACAGATTCAAGACTCTTCAAATAGGTGGGTTATCCAAGCAGTTCCAGGCATTTCCTTTTCTACCTTCTCTTTTCTCAGCAAAGGCAACCATGAATTTGCAACTTTAACTCTCTCTCTTGAATCAACCCTTTTTCTGTAAGACTCCACTACTAGTTTTTTAGTTTGTGTTGAATCTTTGATCATCAATGCATCAGCAACAGTTTGTGTTATTTACATCGTCATGGATGACCTTTGTTGTATGGCAATGAGACCCACCTGACTATTATCTGGCTTTTTCTTGAAAAGCAATTTTGAAAAACGGGGAAATTGTGTTGGAGTGTAACAGGTGTCATAATGTTCCTCTTGGAATGGTGATTGAAGATTTTGGTTCGAGCTGGGTGGGAAGATTCATCAAGAGTTTTATGTGTCCTGAAGAACAGGCAGACTGTGTTGGAGTGTAACAAGAAAGCTCTGGTTTCTTATGATCCTAAGACCAACAGGTCCAGGGCTCTAAACATCAACCGGCTTCCGCAGCAGTTTCAAGCTTTTGCTTTCCAGCATACTCTGTTCTCTGTAAAGGAAACCTTTGAAATGAAGGTTTAATATAATCTTCACAACTCTATTATAGTCAGGCTTTCATTGTCCATATGATGTTCAATTAATCATGTTCTGTAGTTACTTTGTGACAAACATAATACTAACAGGTTTCACTGGATGATTTATTTCTTAAGAAATTGACGATTTGATGATGTGATTTGTCAAATAAGTGAAGGCTATTACACTGATATTTCAGGTTTCCATCAACCATGTATGATTATGTTTTCTCTCTTGCATGAAGAAATTGTCAAACTGGCAAGTAATTTATACTCATTTACCAAAATGGACCTTTTTCTTCTTTTTCCTTTTTCCCCGTGGCCTAATTTACAAGAACTATTAATGCATAAAACAGAGGAAAAGAGAAGAAAAAGGTGGATAAGAGAGAAGGTAGAAAAAAGAAAGGAAAAGAAAGTGAAAAGCTGAGGAGATTAAGGAATCAAATAAAATTCATTAATAAAAGGATAAACTCATGAGTTCCACACTTTGTTTTGGTGGCACATATCATCGCAAATCTCTTCCGCAACCCTGCTTTGTAAGTATGTTAATGTTTGTTTGTTTTTTTTTTTTTTTTTTTTATGAGAATTAGGACACATGAAGATATTTTAAAATCTGCCTCCTCAGTTCAAATATGTATATCCAGATCTTTTGCACCACTTTTGCTTTATGTTAGCATACACTGTATCTTGTTCTTTATCTTCCAAGTCCTAG